AATAGATAAATATGTAGTTTATCCACATCATAATGGAGTATTATTTTGTAATGGAAATAACTGAAGTACTGGTACATTCTATAACATGCATGAACATGGAAAACATTATTTTAAGTTAAAGGGGGCAGTCAGAAAAGACCACATAATATCCCATCTATATAAAGTGTTCAGAACAAGCAAATCTATACAGAAATAAAAGTGCATTCATGGGTTTGTGGATATAACAGTGAGGGAGTCTTGTCTAGCATGCACAAGACTCTTCCCAACACTGAAAAAAAAAGATTAGTGGTTGCTTAGGAATTCTGTGTGGGCAGAGAGAATTAGTGATTGCTAAATGCTATAGGCTTTAGGGGTATGAAAAGCTAAAATTGATTGTGGTGATTGTTGCACAACTTGGTGAAAAACCATTGAATTGTACATTTTAGATGGGTGGTTATATGGCATGCAAATTATATTTTAATAAAGCTGTTACTAAAAAATCCTCTAAGTCTTTGAATTCTTGAACATCTATAAACTGAAAGCAATTTGAAAAATGTACTTGGCAAACATGGGCTATATTTTATGCACAAGAAAAGAAATTCAGACAGTAAAATGGAGTCCAAAGAGGGAAAACCAAGAGCTAATTCGAGGCAGTAGTAATGTCTTAATTCAGGAACTGACAACATGTGCCTAGTTGGCTTTCAGAACTGTTGTGAACCAGTGCCTGCCTGCTTTGTCCCTTGGTTCCCTCCCCCCTCCCCCCATCTTTTTTTTAATCGACTAATCTGGCTTGTCCAATGTTTGTTTTGCCTATTATTTATTCTAGTTGTGTGGGGACAGATTACTTCTTCTTACTTTATAGATTCATAGATCTTCACCTCAAGATGAACTTTATTTGGGCTGGACTCATTGAATTACCCCTCAGGACCAATGCCTATCTCTGGACCTGATTTAAATTTAGATAATAGATTAGGAAGACAGGTAGTTCTTGAGGAAAAGTGACTATTTCTTTCTTTTTTTTTTTTGTGAGAGGAATGTGAGTGCTTTATGGCCACAGTAGACTGGAATTTAAAACACATCTCAATTTATTTTATTCTTTTTTGTCCTTGCACTCCAGAAACAGAAGCTAATGCTTAATTCCTAAGAAAGACTGGCAGGCCTCAGTGACTTGTTTCTAATCAACTGATTGTGGCATGATATATGATGACACATGATCTCTGAAGAAACTAGCTCCCTCCCAGTTTCTGTGTAGAAACCCTTACCCTGCGCACCAAGCCGCCATGTTGGAAGGAAGCCCAAGCTACATGTCAAGGCTGAAAGTCCTAGCTAATAACTGGCAACTACCGAAGATGTGAGTAATGAGCCTTCAGGTGATTTCTGTACCCAGTCTTTACACTATCAGAGCTGTTGCCAAATGAACCATTAAGATTTGTGAATAACATTTATAAGATTATCTCTTTGTTGCTTTGTATGTCCCTCCTCCACAGTATAACCCCTGCTTTCACTATATTTGATGTCAGTATAACTTGTGGAGGAGATGGGGAAAAACCAGTTGTTTAAGGATACAGGTGGACCTGTTGCAACAATGAGAAGTACAAGTTGTCATGTCCAAAACGAGCTTTACAACGTTGGTGCGGGGGGGGGGGGGGGGGGGGGGGGAAGGAGAAGGATTGGGATTAGGGGGGGAGGGGGGAGGCTGGGAAGGGATGTGAAGGATAAACAAAGGAGGAGGCTGCAATGCTTGGTAAGAAATGTACGCATTATCCTGCCCATGTAACTGTAACTCCTCTGTACAGTATGTTCACAAATAAAATTATTTAAAAAAAAAAAAAAGATTTGTGAATAAAACTTATTTTAAGCCTTTTATGCTTCCTCCCATTTGGTTCTTCCCTTAATGGTCCCCTTTTGATATTTACATCATTTTTATCACGTTTAAATTCTATGTATGAGAAAACATAATAGTTGTCTTTCTGACAGAGAGTGAGAGGTTATGATTGAAGTATTCGTGTATTGAGTTTATATCCATGTATGAAATTGAATAATGAAACCCATTAAATTGTAAAAGAGGATGATTAGTAATAACAAAAACTAACAGTGTGTGAACTTGACAAAAGTACATTAAATGCGTGCATGGAAATTTTGCAGTAAAACTGCTCTGGATATTAGTATACATTAATTTTAAAAAATTGCTCCAGGTCCAGACATTGAATTTGGTTATTTGTCCAAAGTTTTACTTTTTTCTTAACATCCCTTTGACTTTCTTCCTCTTTACTCTTGCAGTGCTGGAATCAAATCCAGGGTTTTGCACTTGCCATGTAAGTGCTCTATGGCAGAGCTACATCCTCAGCAACAGTTTTGTCTTCTTAAATTAATGTCCTTCATTTTCTGGTAAAACCTTTTGTCATTTTCTCTATAGAATTCCTATATAATTTTCTGTGTTCTCAATTTGACTAAATATTTGCCTAAGAAGAGTTTTGGTTTTGTGCTGGTAATGGGGCTTGTATTTAGAGCCTAAGCCCCATCCCTTAGATTTTTCCACTCAAGGCTGATACTCAACAGTATTCCACAGTTCTGCTTCCAGCTTTTTGGTGCTTATTTGGCGATAAGAGTTGCACAGACTTGCCTGCCTGTTCTGGCTTCCAACTTTGATACTCAAATCTCAGGCTACTGAGTGAGTAGCTAGTGTTACAGGAGTGAGCCACTGGCATATGGCTCCTGAAAAGGATTTTAAATTGCTCTCTGGTCCATATACATATATACATATACACATACATGTATATATTACAAGATTAGATTTTAAAGGTGTGATTAGATTTAGATTCAAATTTTTAGGCAAGAATGCTTCATAGGTGGAATTTGGTATTTTATCATATCTTACAATAAGGCTTATGATACATTATTTTCTCAGTGTTAATGACAGTTGAAATGGATTTATATGTTTCAGTTATTGACCTGATCACTTTATGAAGTTTTTTCTAACAACTTTTAACGTAAAAATTTTGGCTCCAAAGTTATGATCTTTGTATAGATTATTTCATCAGCATTTACAAAAATGAATTTTTTTTTTTTTTTTTTTTTTTGTCGTTTGTGGGGCCTGAACTCTGGGCCTGGGCGCTGTCACTCAGCTCTTCACCTCAAGGCTAGTACTCTACTATTTGAGCCATAGCGCCACTTCTGGCTTTTTTTTTTCTTTTTCTGCTTATGTGGTGCTGAGGAATTGAACCCAGGGCCTCATGCATGCAAGGCAAGCACTGTACCACTGAGCCACCTTCCCAGCCCGACAAAAATGAATTTTTATACCTATTTTCTCTTTCTTTTTATTAGCTTCAAATTTCTTCTATGAATAAGGTATAGATACGCGTGCATAGTTATTTTTTATGTGTCTACATTAAAAATATATAATAAAGCTCAAAATGGTATAAAATATTTTTATTTTTTTATCTACTTATCTATTTACCTATCTTTATTTATTTGTCTGTCATAGGGTTTGAACTCATGGCCTAAGTGCTGTCACTGAACTCTCCCCTCCCCCATTCAAGGCTAGTGCTCTACCACTCTGAGCCACAGCATCATATCCAGTGTTCTGGTGGCTAATTGGCAATAAGAGTCTCATGGACTTTCTTGCCGAGGCTGGCTTTGAACAGCAATCCTCAGATCTCAGCCTCCTGAGTTGCTAGGATTATGGGCATGAGCCACTGGCACCTAGTTTCTAAAATACGCACACACACACACACGTATTTTTTATTGTGAAAATACTGTACAGAGGGGTTACAATCACATGGGCAAGGTAATGAGTACATTTCTTATCAAGCATTGTGGTTTACCCTTCCCATCACTTCCCATTTCCCATTCCCCTCCCCCCCTCACCCCCCCCCCCCGTGTAAATATTTTTAAAAAGAACTTTTTTAGCTAAATGCTGTTTTTCCTGTAAAGAAATAATAAATGTCTGATTCTTTTTTTCATTTATCAACCAGTTGTCCTAGAAACTCCTATTGGGTTTGATGAGTTTCCTTTCAAACAAAGTACAATTATGGATATGTTGTAAATATAATGTGAGAAGTATACCCATCTAAGTTCAAAGGATGGACTTAGGAGATAGCAATAAAAGCAAGATTTTAATGATGGTCTTACAAGATCAAGCATCTCTTGTATTGCAGGCATGCTTTGGGTGATTGCAAGAAGCAATTTTATACTTAGCATGGGGGGATCCCTCCACAATTCCTCATTGATCTACCATGGGGTTTACATTCCCTGCTGAGTGTCACTTCAGTGACACATTACTCTCACCTGAGTAATTTGAATACATATACCTCCTGTGGTTAGTTGAATTTTAGAAGCAAATTTAGGCTTTCTCCTCCCTGCCTGCCTTCCTTTTGTAATAGGAAGTCTATTTTGGGCATGTGTTTTCTGCCATATATACAGTTTCTATCCATTTTCTCATTTTATTCTATTATAGTCCATCCCTTCCCTTGCCAATTGGCTCCCTTCTAATTGGTCCTGTTTGTCTGTAGGCTTTTCAATGAATGAATTTTGTCATGTCCACAAGTCACTCTGCAAGAAAGCTTCTGGTCAAATGCCTTGTCTTGAATGGACCACTCCTGACTTTATTTCTAATACATAAGTAGAAATGACACAAGGGAATCTCCCGTGTCACTAATGTATGAAAAAATACCATTATGAATTCTTAGATTTTGATATTTTGATGTATTTCAGTCTGCTCTTAGATTACTCTTTCTTTCTTTATCCTCATATTAAATTGGAAGATTCTAGAAGATGTATTCTGTGTTCTTTCAATGTGGTCTCATTCATCTTTAAATAACTGCCATGTGTTGGGAATAAGTATCTAACACTTGCCTCACATACTTCCTACCTAAAGCTATAGCAGCTATTTCTTTTCTCTACCTTTTACCTCAGAATGTCTTTGCCTCTATGACATATCAGTTCTACAATTAGGGATTCTAAAAAATGAACAATGAAGAGCCCTACTAATAGTTATCATTTTTAAACATCTCTTCAAAATCATGGCTGAGAGATTGTTAATAAGAGTCATGAAGGGTGGTAACCACGCTAAGATTGTTACTTTGAATGGGAAGAAGATAACGAAGATGCCCTCATCGTTAGAAAACCTGACTAGCTTAAGGAGTCTAGACTTTCAAAATAACCAAATTTTTAAAGTGTGTCCACAGCTGAGCACCTTGACCCAGGTGAGGAAGCCTATTTCATTTTGGATTGAGAATGGAAAAATAGAGATAAAAAATGGTGAGAGACAGAACAATAAGGCCAATTTATGTCTCTGGAGGCTTAGTTTAGAGTGTTGTTGGATAGGCACCAGGAGTCTTTCTCACTTAGGGAATTACATGTGGTGTAAGGCAAGAAGATGTTTCCTTTTATTCCTATGCTCTTTGGCCCACATCTGGAATCAGGGGATTAGGTCTCCACCACACTCCTCTTCCTGGAGGCTAACATCTGGAAAGGGGCAGGAGGCCTAGATCTGCTTGTCTACCTTGGGGGCTCACATCTGGAACTAGACTTGAGAATCCAGAAGAAGCTGTTTTACCCTTGGGACTGTCCTGAAGCTTTTTTTGTATGGAATAAAGAGACGTTTACATCCAGGAAGGGAGTTCCTTTTCAATTTCCTAATTCTGGCTGAAACTTTGAAATGGAGCCTTGGCAGGAATAGGAAGGAAGGGACATTTATTTCTTCTGAAATGGTCTTTAGAGGAAGGCTAATATTTTACATAAAGAATACCCTTCTTAAAAAGCAACAATTGACATGAATGAATCCCAGATGCTTGTGTTAGACATTTCTGCCTAGCAATGTGAAATTCCAGCTGTTAAAAATCTTGAGGTTGAGAGACAGCAGGGGATATTAACATTACAGTTTTCTTTTTTGCTTGCTTCCAAATTGTCATCTGCACTGAAAGAACCTGTACACAGTGAAATTACCGCAGCTTGCTTATTTTTGGTGAAGGGTTACAAAGAGTAAATTTCTATTTTCTTATCTTCATCCACACTTGTAACTTATAGTGGTATCTCTAGAAGAATTAGGATAATATTCCTGAATTCCCTCTACTACAAAAAGTGCATTTGGAATTACATGACACCAAGGGCTCAGACTATTCTAATGGGACAGATGAATTTCTATGTAAAATAATTTAGGATATTAGTTCATTTAAGTTATGAACTTAATCTCTCCTTCAGCTTAAATTTATTTGCATTAAAGTAATATTGCCCATTGGTTTATGAAAAAAAAATCTACAATAAAAAGCTAATTTTTCTCTCAACCTTGGTCTGGCTCTCCATATGTAATTACTTTTATTTCTTTTTTCTTGACTTATGCATTTTATATATCACTTTGCTTCATCTTCCAAATATAGTTGTCAATATCTACTTTCTTCATAATTATTAGCTTCCATTTTTAGGATTTTTTTTTTACAAGTAGGGTCTCATGCCTTTATCTGGGCCAGCCTCAAAACATGATACTGCTCTCTCTCTCTCTCTCTCTCTCTCTCTCAATCTCTCTCCCTGCCCTCCCTCTTTTCCTCCCTCCCTCCCTTCTTTCCTTCCTTCTTTCCTTCCTTCCTTCCTTCCTTCCTTCCTTCCTTCCTTCCTTCCTTCCTTCCTTCCTTCCTTCCTTCCTCCCTTCCTCGCTCTCAAAACTTGCAATGATATATGAGCACTACCATACCTGGTTACACAGTTATCTCTTAATATTATACCTCTACATAATCTTTCATCAAATACAGCCTCTCTTCATTCTTCACTTTCTCAAAAGATAGATCAGCATCAACAATCTGCTTAGGCTGTCTTTCCCTCATATATGTTTCATAAAGTTTATGGCATTCACATGCTAATTAGTTATAACATGATCAAATCTTTATCTTACCTCTTGGAAAATTCTAAAATTTATATTGTTAGTAAGCAAGTCAATCTGCTGTGATTTTATTTTCTTGTTTAGATGCCATTTTTGTTTCTTGCCATTCTTGTTTCTTTCCTTTTCTGTTGTAACTTTGATTTATTATACCTTCAATTATTTCAAACTCAAAACACATAATGTATTTTATCAAGTATACTTGATCCCTCAGACATTTTCTTCCAGGAATCTCTATCCTCTGTCCAAATCTAAGATAATTGTCATCTGTGCTTACTGGATGCTGTCTGTCCAGGCCAGACTGCTCTTCTAATAAACCTACTGTTTTCTGGATCTTATCTTTTCTCTTACATTCTTTCTCAGTAGTAAATCTCCAGATAGCATCTTAGACTGGTGTTTGGTAGTTTTTTTGTTTGTGTTTTTAAAAAATCTCTTGTTTATCTGAAAGTATCTGTATCCTGCCCTGAGATCTGATTAATAGTTATATAGTCAAAAGTTATGTACTCAAGGAGGGCATGGTTGGTTCATGCCTGCAATACCAGATACTCAGGAGGTTGAGATCTGAGGTTAGCATTCGGAAGCCAGTCCTGGCAGGAAAGTCCGTGATATTCTTATGTCCAATTAACTAGCAAAAACCTGGAATTGGTGCTGTAGCTCAAGTGTAGAATGCTACCCTTGAGCAGAAAAGTTCAGAAGTAGGGTATAGACCCAAGACTAGAACTGGTGCACATTTCTATGCCCACATACAAGGCTACACATTCTAAAATAGACTTTCTTAGGAAAGAAACCCTAACTGTTGGATTATCATTTCATTATCTTCTTTTTGGTGGCTTCTTGTTTTTCTTTATTTAATTTGCGTATTATTTAGGCCTGTTCCTAAACTTTGACATGTTTATTCCCTCTCAATTTCCTTCAGCAGAGAGCTGCTCCAGCTCAGGCTACCCCACTATTAGTGAGTGTAAATGATATGCTTTATCATGATGTTTTCATATAACTATATGCTATCCTTCTCATTGCTTCCATTATGCTCTTTTATTCCATTAGTGGGACACCCTCCTGCTGCTGTTGTTTCTTTTCCTAAATAGTTACATTCTATTTTTCATGTCTTCTTTTACAATCTAGATTCCACATAAGAAAGAAAATGTGCAATATTTGTCTTCTCAAGTCTGGATTATTTCAATTAAAATGAAGTAGAGATCACTCTATTTCCACTCATTTTCTCATACCTGACATGATTTTATTTTTCATGATGGCTGAATACTACTCCAACTTATATGTAACACATTTTCCTATAAATTCATCCACTGATAGGCATCTAAGCTATTTTTATAACTTGGTTATGTGCCACAATAATCATGCACATGAAGCTATCTCTATTTTATTCAGCCCTTATTTTTAAGAAGAAATAACACCTGTAAGAATGAGCAGATTTGAAACAGCATTGTAAGCCAGATTCAGGCTAATGACATTTTTATATAGTTTAGCTATTCATGAACTAATGATTTTTCTTTTATGCAGTCTCCAAAGTTGTGGAATTTATAAAGAAATACTATTTACATTTTCTATAAGTGGGAATTCTAGAAGCAGCTCAAACAAAATGTTTGAAAATGAATATACATTACAGTTTTTAAAATATGATGCAGTCGTTTTCTCAGTTGTTACCGGAAAGCACAGATGAAAGTTTCATACAGAAAATAACAGCAATGCTAAATATAAGACATTTAATCTCTTTGGTCCTTGCTATCATCTGCAGAAAAAGGATTTTCCAAAGATGAATGAATTTATATGAGAATAGCAGAATACTCACACATGAATATGTGTGCAATAGTAAACTGAGGCAAGGGTAAGTTTTAAAAGGCAAAATAATTGAATAAATTATTTGATGGAATAATCTTTGGACACAGATTAACAAAATAACTAGCTAGTAGAAAGTTGAGCAGAAAGTGTGAACAGACATTTGTGTCTTTGTATAAGGCTTTAGTTTTGGTAGATTTTTTGTATATAGTTATTTTATTTATTATTTCATATATATAGAATAGTTTTACAAAGAATTCCAATTCAACAAATTAATATATGTATAATACTGCATATAGTTTCTGTTATCGGGTATACATAAACAAAATCATCCCTCCAAAGTCTTCCAGCTTCATGTATTACTATTACTTTTTGTTAGGGGTTGACAAAAGTGACTTGATTTTGATTATGGCTTTTACAACCTCAATTTTTGCACTGATTTATTCAATCCACAACTAAATACTGAGAGCCATCTGTGCCTCAGGCACTGGGAACTGCTGTTTCAGCAGTGATCCAAACAGATGGAAATCTGTCTTCATAGAGTTTGTTTTCGTCAGAAAAGGCGAAAGAAACAAATAAAGATGTCAGAGGGTGATTAGTGATGAGGAGAGAAACAAAGCAGAGAAAAGGGGTAGGGCATGTGGCATTCAGTTGAAATGTTGTGGGACCCTTGCCTCAAAAGTGTCCTTGTGGTTTTTGTAATTTGGTGACAGACATGTTATGAAATATATAACATATACCAATTCCTTTTATAAAATGTATTTTTCAAATTAACCTTGAACTCTTTTTTGCTTTTGTAAGTGAACTTCTTTATCAATCATGATCAAAGGTATCCATTCACCTGCAACTTCCGTTGTGTCTACACTGTGCTGGCATTGGAACTGCCTTTTCTTTCGCAAGAAAGTATGCCCCAGTATATTGATTGGTGTGTGTGTGTGTGTGTGTGTGTGTGTGTGTGTGTGTGTGTGTGTGTATGTGTGCGCACACGTGCGCCTGTGCACATGTACACCATAGCTTGACTTTAGGGCCTGGACTCTATCCCTTAATTCTTTTACTCAAGGCTGTTGTTCTAACACTAAGTCACAGCTCTAGCTTTGACTTTTTAGCCATTAACTAGAGATAAGGGTTATAGACTTTGTGTTGACATAACTTCAAACTGTAACCCTCACATCTCAGCCTCCTTAGGATTACAGATGGTAGGATTACAGATATCAGCCATGGGCTCCTGGATTATATTGATTTTTCGTCATATCTTCCATAGACTACAAAGTATTACAATAGTCAGGATGGGGGCTGGGAAGGTGGCTCAGTGGTAGAGCGCTTGCCTTGCATGCTCAAGGCCCTGGGTTCGATTCCTCAGCACCACATAAGCAAAAAGAAAAAAAAAAGCCGGAAGTGGCACTGTGGCTCAAGTGGTAGAGCGCTAGACTTGAGCTGAAGAGCTGAGGGACAGCACCCAGGCCCAGAGTTCAGGCCCCATGACCAGACCCAAAAAAAAAAAAAAAATAGTCAGGATGTTTTAGGGTCATGAAACAAAAA